GTGTGTGTGTGTGTGTGTGTGTGTGTGTGTGTGTGTGTGTGTGTGTGTGGCAATTTGGGGTTAAGTGACTGGCCTAGGGTCACACAGCTAATGTCAAGTGTCTGAGGCCTGATTTGAACTCAGGTCCTTCTGACTCCAGGGCCTGTGCTCTATCCACCACACTTCCTAGCTGCCTCAAGGGAAATTCTCTAAAAAGATTTGGTAACACTCTTACATCACTGTATATTTAATATTCTGTGACCTTCATAGAAAGGTGGGCATAGGGGAAAATAGCAAAAAACATTCTTCAACAGTAAGAAACACACACACATACCCCCCCTATATATATATATATATATATATATGTACACACACACATACACACATACATACATTCATATACATATATATGTATGTAAAATCAGACAATGACACAGACTCTTACCACCTCCTAAGGAAATTTAGCTGATGTAAATATATCATCATGACTAAAAGATGAAAACCAAAAGAGCCTAGGAGCTACTTTAGCCAGCAGATACATGGTCTCCTTGCCAAGCTAAGAGCTGTGGGAGTCAAGGTCTAGAACATAAGTTTGTAAAACCTTCCAGAGAAGAATTGTAAAAATTATAAGCAGGATCACGTCATAAAACATGTATAAGCTGAGGAGAGAAAATGGAATTTACGGAAGGGAATTCAGTGAAATTAAATCTCAAGGGGATTTAAGGATGAAACTGGAAAGAGCACAAATAGATGAAAAATGGAAAAAAATATATAAAAGATTTCCATGATAGACTCTTCTCCATAGGGGTTAGTGGAGCCACCACCCCAGTCCTTGAGAAGCCCTGTAGGGGCAAATGACAGCTCATGTTTACTTGGAACTGTAAGATTGAGAAGCGTTTATCTCACCTGAGCCTCACAATAACCCTGGGAGACAAGTGCTAGTATTATTATCCCATTTTATAGGTGAGGAAACTGAAACTCTTGTGCCTTGTCCAGTGCGTGCATCCCAGCACTATCCTCCAGTATGACACTTGGTCTCTCATTGAAATAGCATAAGAAAAAATAAAAGAGGGGCAGAGCAGCAGCTGCACTAAACCAGTTACCTCATATGCACAGAGAAGGCCTGTGCTGGAGGCAGCATAATCTTGAAGATATTAAGGTCTCAACTCTGGATTACTAAGCATTTGGAAAAAAAATCGTACTATTACCCCTCCTCCCCCAAAAAAATGTGACCTAGAAAATGTTTCTAACTTTGGATCCATTCATCTTTATAGAATTTTTATGAACATAATCTACATACACAGTGTGGATATCTTTGAAGGTAGGAGAAGGGAATAGGTAGGGTTTCACAAATGATATTCTGTAGCAGACTATTTTTTTCTTGTTAACTGAAGTTATACAGAATATAAGATACATTGATTTATTGTTTATTGACTATACGAAAAGCATTTGATTTGGTGGAGCAAAATGATGCTTTAATGACTTTTGTCCAACGAAGTACCTCTTGTATATCAGAATCATTGATGATTCTTGCGGTGATGAAAAAACAGTTTTGTTTAGTGACTTTCTGATTGCTAATAGTAGGATAGGAAAAACACTAGGGAAAAAGCTCTTTATATCCATCTTGGATGAAGTCTAACACATAGTTCATATGGAAGAGAGATTCCCTATAGATGGTGTTCTCCAAATACTTCTGCTTGCCCACAATATTGAGCCAATTGCATTGTGCCCCAAAAACATTGCAGACCCTCCTAAATGAGATCCAGAGTCACTCAAAAGAGTTTAGCCTAACTGTCCACACCAGAGAAATCAAGTGGATAAAAGAATGCCTGTTGTCCAGACTATTATTTTCAGTTGAGTAGAAGCACATTGAGTTGTCCAGTGGAAAGAGATTGGAACATGTGAGGTAAAGTCAATTAACAGGTATTTATTCAAAGCCTGCTTTGAGCCAGGCTCTATGCTTTTTACTTTACTTGGATTGAACCTGTGGATGGAGAGTGCAATTGGCGCAGAACTGATGAAACTGGAGGAGATAAGGGTGTGCTATCTTTGGGAAATTGTGGAGTACTTGTCATAACCCCACATTCTTCCTGAAACAAAGTCCCTTCTTTTTGTCATTATTGATTTAGGGCTGGAAGTGATAGAAGTAGTGGAGGAAACTGAGGCTTTGAGAGATTGACTTGCCAAGGGTCACAGAGTAAATTCTGAGGTGGCATTGAACCCCTGTCATCACGACTTCAAATCTGCTGCACCATTCACTGTTGCCACCCTGTCCAGATGTACTCACTCCAAAGGCTGGCTTGAGCATCTTGCATCCTGATAGTTACCATCTACTCTGATGACAGATCCTGGCTTGTCTTCCACTATGCCTAGACCCCCTGATGCACGTGTTTCAGCCCGACAGTTGCTGAGCAATATTGATGAATGGCATAGCAGGGAAGATGAGGATAGCCAAGGAATGGGGTGTTATTAAGCCATTGTCTTTGGCCCTCATTTACATCTCAGGAGTAATGATATCTCTGGATTTCTCTGCTTTAAAGAGTTATGGGCAGTAACAGAAAGATGAATGACTTATACAAGGACCACTTTCCCACATCCTATCTTCTACTTTAGTCACTTGACTCCTCTTTGCTTTATGATACTTTGTATATAGTAGAACCTCAGTAAAAATATTCCTTAATGTGATTTGGTGGAGGGGCAACTGGCCTCAAGACCAGGAAGAGCTAGGTTCAGGTTCCACCTTTGGTGGATCCTGGCCATTTGATCTTGGGCGGGGTCACAACCTCCAAGTGCTCCAGACCATTCTCTAGGGCAGTAAGCTGCAGAGAAGGCACTTGTCTTCATTGGTGGATGGTGTTTTGTCACCTGGCAGTTCCCTGTGTCAGCGACATCACAGGCCCAATCCACAGCCCCATGATTTGGTGACAGTTGATAAGAGCAAATGCTTGTAGCAACAACAAAGCCCACTTCATCTCCTTGCCCCCTGAATGAGGTGTGGGCAACCTCCAGGATAAGGAAGTATTCTCTTTGCCAGGCTCAATCCTAATCTGAGGCCTGGACCCTGTGTCTCCTGCTCTCTGTCATGCCTCTGTTGATGCTGCTAGCTTGCTCAGGCTTCTAAAAGCAAGAGTCAGTAAACCTAAGGCTGGTTCTTGGCCATGTACTCCCTCCTGCACGCACTGTGCCCCTTCTTACTTTTCTTGTCTGGTAGGAATTGAGATCTCAAGTTACTTTGTGTATTTGAACAAAGCTTTATTCACATTTTTCAATGCTTTCTTTTTTATTTCAGGAAATCCCACTTTCAGAAATTCTCCGCGTGTCTCCTCCACAAGATCTCTCTCACATTTCTCATGGTAGTAACCCACACTGTTTTGAGATCATCACTGATACGATGGTCTACTTTGTGGGTGAGAACAATGGAGGCAGCTGTCACAGTCCGGTCCTGGCGGCTACGGGAGTGGGGCTCGATGTAGCCCAGAGCTGGGAAAAGGCCATTCGTCAGGCTCTCATGCCAGTCACCCCTCAAGCGAGTGTTTGTACTTCTCCGGGCCAAGGAAAAGATCACAGTAAGCAGTCAAGTAGTTCAGCATCATTTTAGTAATATAGCACATTACCGTGCCATTACTTCATTAAAATATTGTTTTCCATTATAACCCCTTGTAGCAGGTAACTCTTAGACCATTTTGTTGCTCTTGTTAGAGAAATACCTTTTATTTTTGGCTCATGGTTGAACTATGTGCTGGTCTAAACCAGTTATAGGGAATTAAATTATAGAGGTAAAGAATAAGTTCTCTTTGTTAAGCATTAATAACATAATTTATTAATCCTTTATTTCCTAAAGAAATGTAAAAAGTAGGTTCTCATCTCACTTTCTACAGGGGGCGTTTTCTAATACCCCTTTGATGCTAGTACATTCCCTCTGAAATTACCTTCCATTTACACTGTGTATGTCTTGCATGTATAATTATTTACATCCTGACTCACCCATTAGGCTCTGAGCTCCTTGAGGACTTAGCACATTGGCTAGCACACAGTGATGGTCGATAGAAAGGAAATTTGTCATATTAATACCATTAATTTTGTAAAAGCTTAAGTTAACATTTAAAATTGAATAGTAGTCATAGTGAGACTCATGACACAACATCCATTTTCTGAGTATCTTGTGACTTTATAAACTTTGAGGGTAAATACCTTAATTGGTTTATTGAACTTGACAGAATAGTTAAAAGTTGTAAAAGAGCTTCCATTATAATTATTTCATTTGAACAAGTATTTGGTGTTTCATCTGTCACCATTGTGCCAGTATCCTTAGAAGAACCCCTCCCTGCCCTCAGAAAGCTTGTACTCTAATTGGAGAAGACATAACATACACATATAAATGAGTTAAATAGCATGAGGCAGTATAAGGTTAGTTGCTAAATCCAGTGGTGCAAATAAGTACTGAATTCAAAGGAGGGGAAGAGCAGTATAGGCTTGAATAGTCAGGAAATGGTTGATGGAGGAAGTGGGGCTTGAACCTGAGCTTGAAGGGAGTAGAACCTGAGAGGCCTTTGGATATATGAAGACAATGGGTAGCTCTGTTGCAGGAGAGAGAGGGGCATAAGTAGGGGCAGTGGGAGAGGTGATGATAGGTAGGCAGCGTAAAGGTCAACTTGGCTACACAGATGTTATCTGAGGAGCTGTAGGAAATGAGGTTGGCCAGGGAGGGAGGGGCAGAGAGATAAAGGACCTTAAAAGGTCATCTAAGGACCTCTAGATTTCTTTGTGGAGACGTTTGGAAACCACTGCCTTTCTGAGCAGGTAATAACAGAAGTAGTGTTTGAGGAAGATTAGCTTGGAGCAGCATTGTACCCTTTCTTGTTTTAGCATACCACTGTGTGATAGGCAATGTGCTAAGTCCTGGGTACCCAAAGAAAGGCAAAAATACTGTCCTTGTCCTCAAGGAGCTCATATCCTAATGAGTAAGACAGGATGTAAATAACTATACATGCAAGACATGTACAGTGTCAATGGAAGATTTGAAAAGTTGTTAGCCTAGACTGGAAGACTCTTTGCTTAATCTTAAAATGAATGTTAAGATCATTAAAAATTTCATGAATTATATTTGCTATTTAGAAGTTACTTTCAGAGAGTTATTGTGATACTTTTTATTGTTTGTCCTTTTTTTGCATATTATCTTACACCTACCCTTTATTAAGAAAGCAGCATGGCAGAGAGGCCAGGGCCAGGGTTTAGATCTGGTTCTTGTTTCTTAATGCTTGTGTGACCTCGAGGATGTTACTTCACTGTTATGGGCCTCAGTTTTTTCATCTGTAAAATAGGAGGTTGGACTAAATAACTTCTTAAAGCTCTGAATCTATGAACCTGTGCGCCTCTTTTTGATGAAGTTTTATAGGTTTCTAGGGCTATAAAAATAACAATTGTTTTTTCTGCTTTTGATCCATGTGCTTTCCTCTTTTCCTCCGTGTTTCCTTGTACTTATCTGTTGTCTACACATTAAGTCTGGAAAACAGTTCATTTTGTAAACTTAGATCTATCTTTTTGCTTTGGATGCAACATTAAAAATCATACCAGACCATTGTTCAGTTAAGTAGAATATCAACATTTTCTTGTTCTTTCCACTAATTTATTATTTTCACATTTTACAGACGAGTTGTCTGTTAGCATCTCTGTTTCTAACTGCCAGGTCCAGGAGAATGTGGTAAGTAATAGTCCTAACAAAATGTACAATTTAGCTGATTAGTATATGATAAGATTTACTAAGGATAAACATTCATTTCAGCACCTTTATCCAGTATACAATGCACTGTACTAGGCCCTGTGGGAGATTAAAAAGGTATATAAAACATGTTCTGTCCCTTCTGGTAGCTTATGACCTAGCAGGGGAGGTATATATATCCATATAGTTAAAATGAAAGGCAGTATGCAGTATAAATCAGTCCTAACAATTGGTCAATGATAAATGCTGTAGAGTACAACACAATACAATAAACATTTGTTAAGTGCCAACTCTGTGCCAGGAATACTGGTACTAAACTCTATGGATACAAATGAGAAGAAGGAAGCGGAAGGCAGTGGGGGGTGGGGGGAGGTGATGAGATGATGATGATGATGATGATAATAATAATGATGGAGGTTGGTGGTGATGGAGGAGATTGGTGGTTGTTGGTGATGGTGGTGGTGGAGAGAAGCTGGTGGTAGAGTGATGGTGAGGATTCTGAATCCTCTGTAAAGGGAAGCTTTGGGAGTAGATATTTGCTCTGCCCTTCAGTCCTCCAGTCAGAGGGGCAGAAGCAGCTGAGAGTACTGCTGAGGGGTGAGTGCCAAAGCTGGAGCATTCTCCATGATGAGGAGTTTCCTGGTGATGAATTTATGGAGGTGGGTGTGGGGTGGGTGATGATGATGTAGTCAAAACTAAGCAGAGCAGCTGGTGATAAATGGTGAATGAAGAAATATCTGGGAAGAGTGATACAATTTATAAGAGATGGGAGAAGGAATGCTTCTTATTTAGGGCATTGTGCATTGTACCCTCACACTGTCAGCTTAAATTTGTTAAATATGAAACTTGGGGGATTTCCATTAAGTCATAGGAGGAGGGTATGGGGGGAAATTTCTTTAGAATGAGACATGAAACCTTTTTAATAGTGATATAGGGCAAAATATTCTTATCTTTCTATTAATAATAATTTACTTTTAATCTTACTCCCAAATTTTGTGATATATAGGATATTTAAAGAAACAAGCCAGTTTTAGTCAGGTTCTCGTAAAACAGTGTACTGTCCTTTCACAATGTGGTCCCAAATTAAGATTTAAAGCATAATAATTGGGCATTAACTTTTCAGAGACATAGTAAAGAAAGCCTACATTTTGAAAGATACATTTTACTTTTTCTGTAGGATTTTTTTAAAGTGAAAACTAGCATTTTTTTTTAATAATGGAAAGTTACTGGAGATATCTTTTTATTAAATACTAAGTTATTAATTTAAATTATATTTAAATATAAATATTAAATTATTTCTTTCTTATTTTTCCTAAAATAGGATATCAGTTCTGTATATCAGATCTTTGCTGATGAGGTCTTGGGTTCAGGACAGTTTGGTATTGTATATGGAGGTAAGCCATTACAAATGAACGTTAGTTTTTTTTAGTAGATTTTTATTGATGCCTTTTGTTTTTATATCACCAGCATTTCCCACTGCATCCTTTTCACCCCACTCTACACAGAGAGCTATTTCTTGTAATAAAGAATAAAAGATAAAGGAGAAAAAAAGTTAAACAGAACTAGCCGACGTATTGAAAAAGTCTGTTGTTATTTAGAGTGTTCAGGGGAAAATGTCTTCTCATATCTCTTCTTTGGGGCCAAGCATGGTCATTGAAGTTTTTCAGTGTTCAGTTTTTGTTGGTTTGTTATTCTTTCCATTTACCTTGTGGCAATTATTGTGTATATTGTTTTCCTGGTTCTGCTTACTTCACTTTGCCTCTGTTCATGTATAATAAGTCTTTCCATGCTTTTCCTTATTCATCATAATTTTTATTAACGCATAGTAATATTTTATGTACCACAATTTGGTACACATTCCACAGCTGATAAATATCTACTTTGTGTCCAGTTCTTTGCTGCTACAAAAAATGCCATGAAAAAAGTTTATGCAGCCCTTCTTTTTGTCATTGACCTCTCGAGTATATGCTTACACTGTCATCTAGAAGGTGGGACTTATGCAGATTTTTGAAAACAAGAGATTCTAAGAGGAGAAGGTCAGAAGGAAATTTCTTCCTGGCATGAAGGAAAGCCACTACAAAGTCTTGGAAGTGGAAGATGGAATTTCATGCGTGGGAGCAGTAAGAAAGCCAGTTTGACTGCATCACAGAGCATGGGAAAGAGAGTAATGTGTAATGTTGGAGAAGTAGGTTGAAACTAGCTTGTGACAGGTTTTAAGACATTAACAAGAACTTATCTTTGAATGTGGAGCCACTGGAGTTTATCCAGTATTAGAGTAACATGATCAGACCTGCATTTTAGGAAGGTCATTTTGACAGCTTTTTGTAGGATGGATTGGCATAGACTTGAGTTAGAGAGACTAATTAGAATTTTGTAGTGGTTCAGGTGTGAGGCGATGAGGGCTTGAGGTGATGGTGGCTGTGTGAGTAGAGAGAAGGGGATGGATGTGAAATCTGTTTTAGGGGTGTAAATGACAAGATTTGGCAGTTGACTGGATATGTAAGGGGAGGGAGAGTGAGGAGTCAAGCACAATGCTTTGGTTATAAACCTGGGTGAGTGGGAGGATTGTCTTGTCTTTGAAAATAGGGAAATTTGGAAGAGGGCTAGATTTTGTAAAAAAAGCAAAAACAAAAAAACGATGATGTAATGTTTAGACATGTTGAGTCTTATATGCCTGTGGGATATCTCATCTGAAACATCTAATGCTCATGATCTGAAATTAAGCTCAGGAGAGAAATTAAGGCTTGTTATTTAGATTGAGTTATTTGCATCAATACCATGTTTGCCTCATAAATAATTGCATACTATTCATTACAACTTTCTGTTTGAAAATTGTCTGTGTTGAAGCATTCTAAAGCTTTGATGAATTGGTGATCTCACTGATATGGGTACTTGCAAATCTCTTCACATTTCATGAGAAATTGGTGCCCTTAAGTATGTGAAAAAAATGTTCCAATCATGTCTAAAGCTCATTTTTGTGATTTTGTGTGTTTTCAATTAAGAAAAAAAGTTAGAGAAAGATCATCTATCACAAAAATATATAGTATTGGGGAGCATGGAATGCTCTGAATATTAGATGATTACCTTGTTTGCATAATTTCTTCCCATTTGAAATTTTTATTTTATCAAATCTCTATGAAAGTCCTCCTGTTGTGCTTTCTTGTGGCATGGCAGCAGCTACAGTGGACAGTACAGTTTTGGACTTGGAGGTAGGAAGACCTGAGTTTGAATCTTGCCTCAGACACTTCGTAATTATTTGAACCCCAGGCAAGTTATTTAACTCCCCTTAACCTCAGTTACCTCATCTGTAAAGTGTAGATGATTGCTTCCACCTCCCAGAGTTACTTTGAGGATCAAATAAGGTAGCACATCAAGTCCTTCGCAAACATTAAAATGCTGTATCAATTCTCATTCTATCCCTAACGTCAGCCCATCTTTGTGTTGGGTTCTTGAGGGCTGTGCCAGTGGAGCGCCATCTTTGGTCATCTCTGCCAATCTCAGAAGACTTGCAGGCTCAATATCTGCCATTGGAAGAGCATCTTTGGATCAAAGGCTCATTGCCATAAGGGTGGCCATTGGGAGAGGCATTTTTTGGTCATCATAATTTGTAATGATGTTTTCTTAAACTAGATGGGGTTGTAGTATTTTGCCAAGTATTTTACCAAGAATACAGGGACCTGGAGGGAGTAATGTTCTCAGCTACTCTGCTGAGAAGGGTGAAATTGGAATAAAATGAAATCAGGAGCCCAGTTTTCTTCCCTCGATAAACATCAAAGGCTTGATCAGAGCACATAAGCTGCTGTTACTACGTCTTTATGCACTCTTCCTCTTACTTTCAGCAAACAAAGTCATTTTTGCCTCCTTAAATGTCCCAGTTGAGTCTCTCAAATAACCTTTTAGATGTAAATAAGTACAGAGGGGAAAATATCAGCTTTTTCCTCCTCAGAATTAGTGTGGGATTAATTATGGAGGTGAATTAACAGAAATATTAGGAAGAAAGGAAATGCACCAACAAATTTAGTACATTTCAAATAAGTTTGCTTATTTCAACTGGTGGACAATTTTCCATTATAGTGTTTTATATTTGTGAGAGCTCCCATTTTAGCTGTATTACTAATTTCACTTCTTTTTCTCCAGGAAAACATAGAAAGACTGGACGGGATGTGGCTATTAAAGTGATTGATAAGATGAGATTCCCCACAAAACAGGAAAGCCAGCTTCGTAATGAAGTGGCCATTCTGCAGGTAAAATAGCAATACTTACTGATTTTTTAAAGTATTGTATTTGTTGGCAAAACTAACATTTACTTTCTCTTACTGTCACCTAGTCATTAAGTGTATGGTAAAGTTATTTTCTGGAGCTGTAATTTAGTCTTAGTTTTCAAAATTACATTAAAAATGTATAAAGATTTAATTTAAACCTAGAATTGCAGGATAATAAGTAAGGAAAGCTATCTACTATGTTGCATTCAGGTATCGAATACTAACAAATAGTAACATGTTTTCTTTAAGTCATAACTCTGGATAATCAGGGTATTTGGTACTATCTTCTCTGTACTGGGTATTTCATGGAGATTATTTCACATTAATCCCAGAATGTCCAGGTTAAGAAGGATGTCAGTGATCATGTAGCCATCATATTCCTGAAAAAGAAATTCCCTCTACTATATACCAGACAGCTGACCATCCAACTTTTATTGGAATAGCTCAACTAAAGGGGAAACCTTGATTCACCAGCATGGGTCATTCTATTTTGGGATTGGTTTTAGTTGTTAGGAAGATTTTTCCTTAATTCTTTCTTTCTTTCTTTCTTTCATTCATTCATTTATTCATTCATTCATTCATTCATTTATTTTTGGTGAGGCGATTGAGGTTAAGTGACTTGCCCAGAGTCACACAGCTAGTGAGTGTTACGTGTCTGAGGTCAGATTTGAACTCAGATCCTCTTGATTTAAGGGCCGATGCTCTATCCACTGCGCCTGCCTAGCTGCCCCCTTAATTCAATCCTCAGTTTGCAATTTCTACCCCCTGCTCCTAGTTCTGCTGCCTGGCACCAAGTAGAATAAACTTAATTCTTTTTTTTTCAGGTAACAGCCCTTTCTATATTTGAAGAAAGCAATCATGTCCCTTCTATGCCCTCTCTTCCATAGGTTCAGTAGCCATTTCTTCAGCCTCTTCTCCTATGGCACAAAATCTCGTCCTTTCACTGTTCTGGTTGTGCTCTCCAGCTTATCAGCGGCTTCCCAAAATATGAGACCTAGAGCTGAACGGAGCTCTCTACAGGAGCTTTAGCCAGGACAGAACTATCATGTCCTTTTTCCTAGAAGTGATGACTCTTTTGAACAGCCTAACATGAAATCAGATTTCCTTTGCTTCTATATCACATTGTTGACCATTCCTGAGTTTGCAGTTCACTCCTCTATCCTGTTTCCTTCCTGTACCTGCTCCTTCTGAATAAAGCATTTCCTTCAAGATCCCAATTCCCCTCTCATCCCCACTTGAGTCTCAGGGATGTTTCCTTGTTTTTCCTTGCGTATGACTTCTAGTTTTTCTTGTTTATTTCATAATTTTAACATTTCTCAGAAGCAATTATTGTGTTGTTATAGCGTAGTGTAAAGCAGATAACTTAGACTACTAAAGAATCAAAAGTATTGTTTGTCATTTTTCTGAATTCAGACTATTTTAGTTTTATTTTAGATTCGTGAGGCTATATTTGAAAGATTTATGCATACCTATAAATCTTGATACATTCTAACTATAGTCTAATGTGATTACATTCTGACTATGGTCTTCTTTGATGCCTATTCCAGAATTCAGCTGTTAAAAGGATTTTTAAATATTACTGAAAGACCACAGTTACCTATATTCAAGCTACTAGATAGTATGTCTGCAGACTGGAAACAAAAATGAGAACTCTGGTTTGGTAGGGTTATGTTTTAGGACCTTGATTCTTGAGGCGCTATCAAAATATATAGCAAGTCCTGGAGTCATTTAGGTCAGGAAATAAACACACAAGGGGCCATTAAAGTATTGGGTGGGAATATTTATAAGAAGTAGGTTTCTATAACTTTGCTGAGAAAAATGATGTTGATTATGTCATGAGATGCAAAATGTTTTTCATTCTGGTAGCTGTGACAATGTGTTTTCTGTTTTAAGCAGTACTCTAAATGCCTCAATTAAGTGAAACTAAAGAATGGCATCTCATAGATTAAAATTTAAAAAGACTTGTCCTGTATGCCTCGAACCCTGGAGGCAGTCTTTAAACATTTAAATAGTAGCCTCAACCATAACTTCAGAGTCTCTCATCATGAAGTAATTGATTCAGTAAGTATTAGCTCTGTGGGATTTTTAGCTGTTCTAAATTTAGAATAATTCCTCCAAGGTTCTCATAATCTAGAAACAATTAAAGAAAAGAATCATAGAATCTCAGAATTGGAAGAGACCTCCTAAGCCATCTACTAGAATTCCTAAATAGAAATCCCCTCTACAAAGTACCTGACAAGTAGTTATCTAGCCTTTGCTTGAGGATCTCCAGAGGTGGGGAGCTAATTACCTCATGAAGCAGTCCAATCAACTTTTGGATTGCTCTTATTTTTAGGAAGTTTTTCTTTACATCAAACCTAAATTTGTCGCTGCATCTTCTCCGTATGGCTCCTGGTTTTGTTCACTGGGGACAAGTAAAAAGAAAATCTTATCCTCCCATGTGACAGCTCTTCAGATTCCTGAAGGTACCTATTATGTCCATTCATTGTCTTCTATTCTTTTTGCTAAGCACCTCCAGTTCTTTCAGTCAGTCCTCACATGGCAGGAACTTGAGCTTCTTGACCATCCTTGTGGGCCTTATCTAGACATTCTCTAGCATTTCAGTGCCCTTCCTCTAAATATGGTGACAAGACTGAACAGACAACTTAAGATGTCAAATCCCCCAAGGCAAAGTGCAGGGTTTCTGGGAAGAGAGATCTCTCAGTGCATCCTGAAAGCGTGCTAGTTTTTTGGCTGCCATTTCACACAACTGGCTTCTGTTGAACTGTGAGTCCACTAAAACCCCTAGATCTTTTTCACATGAATAGTCATCTACTCTTTTCTTCAGCTTGTCAAGTCAACAAGCATTTATTTAATACTTATCGTGTGCCAGGCACTGTGCTAAGGAAGCATTGAGGGTCCAAATACTAGCAAAAGGAAAGACAGTCCCCTTAAGGAGGTTACATTCTAATTGGGAAAGAGACGTATAAAAGAGATCTGAAAAACAGGAGCAGGGTAAGGGGGTCAGAGAATATAGGAGAAGGTGCTTGCCAAGGCATGAGAGAGAAAGTTTGGAGAGTCAGGAGTAGAACCTAGAGAAGAACGAAGACATGGAAGGTGACCCTGGTCTGAGTGCTTTCCTTAAAATGGAGGGTCTGGGAGGAACCAGTCAAATCTTCACAAGCAATAAAAGTTTTCATTCAACAAGGGTTATTGTATGTACTGATGCTGCCATCCAAGTTGGTAGAACCATTATTGACTACCTTCTCAGTAAAGCCATTCAACTAATTTCACATCCACACAATTATACTGTTGTCTAGTCCCTGTTGATTCATCTTTTCCACACAAACTGTATGAAAGACTTTTAATGCTTTGTTAACTCTAGGTACACTGTACTGAGAACTTTTCCCTGATCTAACAATTTAATAATCTTGTGAAAGAAGGACATGGGGCTTTGACCTGTTCCTGATGAAGCCATGCTCTTTGTTATTACTCCCTTTTCTATATAGACTTACCATTGAAGGAATGATTACTGAACGTGCATTTTGCTTGAAATCAACCTCACTACCTTAGACTATTAAGATGCCATTCTTTAACCTTTTCTGAAAATCAGGATGTTTTTGCCTTCTCTGTGGCACTTCTCCCGTACCCTTTAGTTTTCCAAAGATCGTGACAGTGCTTAAATAATTGTATCTGCCGGTTCCTTCAGGACTATCTGGTACTGGTAAATTGTATTCATCAAGGGCAATTAGGTGCTTTCTTACCATCTCTCTATTTTTCTTAGTTCCCTGTTTGCCATTTTTGCTCTCTTTTCTAGGCCAAGGGCCAGTTTTCTTGTGTGGTAACTACTTGTCTGTTATCACTCCACCTGCTGTGAATAGTTGTCCTGTAACTTCTTTGATTCTTCTTTTTATTCAAGCAGTTATTAAACAGTTACTATCTGTAGGACATGACTGGTCCCTGAGAGTTCAAAGACAAAAGCAAAACAGTCCCTGCACTCCAGGAGCTCACATTCTAATTCCAGGGCAACACATATATGAATATATACAAAACACATACAAAGCAGAAAATTTGAGAGTTGGAAAGAGAGCCCAGTGGCCATCTAGTACAACTTATATAAGAAGGAAATTCTTGCTATAGCACATCTGACAAGTGGTCATCCACTGTCTGCCTCAAAAAGCAGCCCATTCTGCTTTTGGACTGCTCTAGCAGTGAGGAAGCTTTTCTTGATACCAGGCCTAAATTGGCCCCTTTGCCACTTTTACCTGGCTCTTTCCCTGAGGCCAAACAGAAGTCTAATTCCTCTTCCATGTGATAGCCCGTCTAGTACCCAAAGACTTATTTATCTCATTTGTTCCCAATTACCAATGAGAGTAAACATCCCCAGATCCTTCCATCGGTCTTTTATATAGCACAGTATCAAGGCTCTTCACTGTCCTAGCTGCCCTTCTCTGAACACTTTCCAGCTTGTCAGCATCCTTCTTAAATTGCGATGCCTCATACTTAGTAATACAGTATTCCAGATGAGGCACATACAAGGTAATCATGATGGTGGTAGGATGTGGGAGTCGGAAATGCACTAATAGCTGGGAGTACAAAGGAAAGGCCTCTTGCAGAAGTTGGTTCTTGAGCAATTTTGAAGGAATCCAGGAATTCCAAGAGGGAGTGAAGAGAAGTGCATTTTAAGCATTCTGGACAACCAGTGCAAAAGGTGCAGAGATGAGTGGTGGAGTATTGTGTGTAAAGAGCAGAAAGTCAGCTAGCTCACTTAGATGTAGATTGTGTGGATGGAAGGAAGAAAACTGGAAAGGTAGGAAGCAGTCAGGTGGTGATAAGTTTTGTTTGTGGTTTTTTTGTTTTCTGTTTTTTTGCTTTTTGGTGAGGCGATGAGGGTTAAGTAACTTGCCCAAGGTCACACAGCTCATAAGTGTTAAATATCTGAGGCTGGATTTGAACTCAGGTCCCCCTGACTCCTAGGCCAGAGCTCTATTCACTGCGCCACC